CCCCAAAACCCCAAAACCCCAAAACCCCTTAATCCATAATCTTGTTGATTAACTGTAATATTATTTTAAGTATTTTGAGAGAGACTATGGTTTATGCAAATTAATTTAGCACTTCTAATTTTAAAGCTCGCTAAAATTGAGTAGATTGTGCATTTAATTTTTAAATTTTCATTAATTAAATTCTCTGAGTCTCACTTGAGGTTCTATTCCAGCCTGTCTAGCAGCATATAGTCTTCTATTATCAAGCGAGACATAAGTACCGCCTGGATTGTTGGCTCTATTAACTTCTGGCATCTTAACAACATCTATAGGATTTCCTCTCCAACCATCCTTCTTCATGCTATTGAAAATTTATCCAATATTAATTTCTCCATCAGTAGCAACAAAGGATATTGTCTATTGTGAGAAATTAATACCATCCCGATCTTTTAATCTAGCGTTTAATTTAAACATTTTGATTCTTTATGTGGTAGTTCCAAGTTGTCTGATTTAAGCTAACTCTGATTTTATTTGAGGATTTTACCCTGATGATTAAGGAACTTTTCCATCAAGTTTTTCAACTCTTTTCTTGACTATCCCAGATTTTTTCAAACTTTCTAGCTCTTCATATCTAGCATTAACTTGACTATCAAGAAATCAATCTTCTCTTGCTCTTTTTAATGCTTATCTTGCTACCTAAGCCTTTTTAAACTATTGACCTGCTTTATACCCACCTATGCCATCCATTGTAATTTCAAAACCCATGTCAAACAACTAACCAGCTTTATTACCTTTTCCGTCAGCAATGTCAGTAACTTATTATACTATACCTGATGGTCTTTATTCATCATGGACTAATTGATCAACCCCAGTAGTGATCACATCAATATCTGCTCCACCAGCAACAGCTCCAACTGGACCACCAATAATCATTCCACCTACTCCTACTGCAAAAACTCCTATAGTTCTTGAGGCGGATTTCATTGCTTAATCTCCACCTTCTTTGTCTCCACATGGCCAACAACAGGAATTCCATTAACTATTCCATTTATGGTATAACCTACATTTTCTAAGTAAATTTCTTAGGTATTCCTTGCTCCTTCATCGTCCCCATTTAAAGATTAAACTAAAGATTTAACCTGTGAAACAACTATGCACTAGTTCGAAAAATTTTCTTAAGTTCTTCTATTGCCCTCAGCATCTCGGCCAATGACTTAAACCAGTGATTTTGCTTGTGATATAACAGGAAGTGAATCAGTGTTTCCCATAAGAAAAATAATATTATGTTAAAGCTTTGATCAATTTTTCCGAAATATCTTTATTTATTATATTAAGTTTTAATTTATATTTTAACATGCTTTTAAATTGAGAAATCTATCATTAAGGGGTTTTGGGGTTTTGGGGTTTTGGGG